AGAACCAATTATTACTAATTTGAGTTGAGTAAAATATCATTCTAACAATAACAAAAGAACAACCCAATTTAAGAAAAAAATGGACAAAGGACTTGAAGACAATTCTCCAGAGTCTATACAAATGAAGACTGAATCGATGGAAATACGTTCCACCTCACTAAAGATGAGGCAGCAAAGACCAGTTCACACCTATTTGAACAGGTTTCATTTAAGAGAAGGAGAAGAGGAAGAAGAGAAAAGGCAAAGCAGGTGTAAGGGTGTAGGAAATTGGATCCCTTGTGTGCGGCTGATGAGAATGTAAAACCATGCAGCTGCCGTTGGGAGCAGTTTGGCAGGTCTTCAAAACGTTAAACATAGAACTGCTATAAGATCCCTCTGTTTCACGTCTGGCTGTATACCCAAGGGAACTAAAAGCCCAGACTCCAACAGTTAACCCAGCTGCATTGTCTAACCACAGTTGTAAAATGATGATGACGTCCAAGCGCCCGTCAGTCGCTGTAGACAAGCACAGTGTGGTCAGGCCACACACAGCCATACCGATGGACGTTAAAGACATCACGCTAAGAGAAATAAGCTGGTTGCAAATTGTGGCCAAAGTGACATGTAGCTGTGTTTGTAGAAGTTGCCTTGGAGAGTCCGATTCCTAGAAAATAGAATGGTGACTGCCAAGAGCTGGCGGCAGGAGAGAATGTTGAGTTCCTATTCATTCTGTGTGAGTGCACGTGTGTATTGGGGCACAATGCAAGGCAGGGGGGCAGACTCAGTGTTGCTGCTTAGGAAACATTCATGTTTATGCGTCTTTATTTTTTTATCCTTTTACATTCATGCATTCTTTGTGTGCGAGGAAAGCACTTTTATCCAGTAAGCCATCTCGACACTTCCACCATGTTTTTGGAGTCAGAATCTCTCATTGGCCTGGATCTCACTGATTAGGCTAAATTAGCTGGCTAGTGAGCTCCAGGGACCCTCCTGTCTCTGCCTCCCCAGCATTAGTTATAGGTACACACCACTGCACCCAGCTTGTCTACACGGATTTGAAGGTCAAACTTAGGTCATCCAGCTTGCACGGCGAGCACTTTACTGTCTGAGCCATCCTACCTGCCCGTGAGTTAGTATTTATTCCAGCTTAAGTTTCGATGATGAGTATTCTGAACCAGGATGGTGGCAGCTGCATATAATAATGTGGATTCTACCAAACTATACGCTTACAATGGTCAAAGTAAGCCGGTGGTAATGGCCCGCATCTTTAATCCCAGTATTAGGGCGGTAGAGGCAGGCAGATCTCTGAGTTGGAGGCCAGTTGTTCTACAGAGTAAGTTCTAGGACAGCCAGGGCTATACAGAGACATCTTGTCTAGAGAAAACAAAAAGCAAACAAACAAAAGCACGCAGACACACACACACAACCAAACACTACCACCAACAAAGGTCTAAGTAGCAAAGTATACATTTTACTACAATTTTAAAAACAAAACCAAAGACAAAAATGAAAGGGACAGTAAAGCTGGTCCATCAGATAAAGGAGCTTGCCACAAAAGCCTGAAAACCAAAGTTCGATTCCCAGAACCCATGGTGGAAAGAGAGAACCAACTACCGAGAGCTGTCCTCGGACTTCCACATATGTACACACACAGATTCGCACATATACATAAAATAATAAAATGAATAGCAGATGGTACATGAAGCAGAAGAGAACTGGTAGTCCTGTTGGGTGGGGCTCTTGCCACTGAAGGTCTCTGTGCAGAGGGCCTTCTGGGTGGTCTTCTGTACCTGTGAGCTTCTGGAAGATTGTAAGCCTGGCTGTGGTATTTCTCTACCACAGAGAATTTTAGGAGGGCCTTCCTCACTATGGAGAGATGTTTCCTGGGGAGAGTTACAGAAGAAATGTAGAAAGTTGGCTGCTGCATTCTGGGAGATTACTTGGTGAGGTCCCTGAGACAAACTAGCTACAGTGTGTGAGGGGGAAAAGAAAGGAGATCAGCTGCACAGTCCTCATGCTTCTTCAACCTTCTGCGTCTTTTGGTGCTCACCCCAACTCTGGCTTGCCAGGTCCCGAGTTGAAAGAAGGCAGTGAAGTTGCACTTATTCGTTCCATAAACCTGACAGCCTTCCTCAGAATCCTCCACTCCTCCTGACAAAGTCAGCAAGCTGTCCTGAAGCCTAATCCTGAATTCAGCACACGAGAGCTTTTCCCCTCTCCTCCTCCTCTTCATCTTCCTCCTCCTCCTCTCTTACTTTTCTCCTTCTTTTCATACAAAGTCTTAATATTATAGTCCAGGCTGACCTCAAACTCATGATCTCCTGCCTCAGTTTCCTGAACGCAGGGATTCTATGTGTACACCACCATACCTGGCTACCTGTGTTTACTCTTACCCAGTGACATCCCAGGAGTTGCTCAGGCTACTGACGAGGTCAGGAAGCTAAGAGCTAGTGGTAGTCACCACACTCCCAATACAGTGTCCCATCTCTCTCAGCCTTCCTGACACGCTCCTCTGAGCTGCCCCATCTCAGATCCCTCCCCCTCTTCTACCCTCTCTCCTATTTACATCTCCACCCACTCACTCTCAGAGCTCAGCATACTTTTTTTCCATTTCAGTCTCTTCCCTGTCAGATTAACAGAGAAAGGAAGACCCTTTCTTGGAGCTTCTGAGGTTGCTGCCATTGTTAGCTATTGGTTTGGTCACACGTATTCTTAGGAGAGGCCATCTCACCTGGTTCCCAGTTTCGGTGGAAGGCTGTGGGTGTGGAGATCATGAGAAACCTCTTCATAGCCAGGCTGGGTAAAGGGAAGCCTCCTTCTACACTAGTGGGTAGTAACTGCTCCCCCTTAGATTTGCCTTAAGGCTCCGGTAAGACTCTTTTTCTCCTTAGACAGGGTTCTTGTAGCCCAGGGTGGCCTGGTACTCTCTCTCTCTCTCTTTTTTTTTTAATAGAATGCTTTTTATTCTTCAACAATTTCATTCATGTAAGCAATGTACCTTGATCAAACGCACCCCCAAGCCCCCTCACCCTCCCAGGTGCCCCAAGCAGCATGTCCCCTCCCTTCTTCATGTTCATTCCTTTTGTGTTAATAACCCACCGAGTCTGATTAATACTGCCTGTTGGAATGTTGCCACATCTTGTGAACTTGATCTTATGCAGTTGTCACAGCTACAGTGAGTTCACGCGTATGATGACCGAGTCATGCACCAAAGACAGCATTTTCCCGTGCTCCTCTCAGTGCTCCTCCCAGTGCTCCTCCCTGTCCTCCAGCTCTTACTTTTCTTTCCATCTTGTTTTCACAGTTGAACTCCTTTATTCTTTAAATGTTATTATTATCTGGAGGGGTGCGTGGGTGTGGCGTGTAGAGGACAGCTTTGTGGAGTCAGCTCTCTCCTCCCATGTTTACCTGTGTGGGTTCTCAGGCCTCTGGCCTTGTGCTCTCTCTCAGTCTTCCTGTTTCAGCGTCCCTGGTGCTGGGGTCACACACACATGCACCACCATATCCACTTTCCCCAGAGAACCCTTTTTTCTCTCACTGGGCTTGCACCTAATCTAGACTGGAAGCTTACCTATGGCAGCTAGAGGAGGAAGGACAGCTAACCTCCTATCAAGAAATTCTACAACTGAGGAGGCTGCCTCCCCAGCACCCAAGGAGGCTGCCGAGAAGTATTCTAAGTAGCTACTACTGCAACTCTGCTGTGAGAAGTAAACAGCACGAGGAGGACCACCCCCTAGGATGCCTCTGGACAACTTACTCCAGCTCCCATAACATCTGCTAAGCAGCATCTGACGACTCCAGCTTCCTGCACCCTCTTGATGACAGAGCTAAGCAGCAGCAGCCACGACTGCCTCCCAGCGGCCTGAGTGGTCATCTGCTTTTAAGGTGCCCAGCAGATCTGAGCTGTATCAGGCTGAGACTAACTCAGACTCCCCTCAAGAGCCAGCCCTGCAGCTAATGACTCAGCGTGAGGCGAGGCGGTGGGCAGTAGAGGAGGGTCTGAGGGAGTCACACAGGGCTAGAACTTGGGGGCCTGAGGGACCAGCATTGATGACAACAGGAGTCCAAGTCAGGATGCTGAGTCCCCAGAACAAGTCCAGCTGCAGCCCTGCAATTGAATGAATTCCCAGTAGTTCCATTAATGCCACTAACCTTCTCCCTGTGGGTTCAGAAAACCAACTCCCTTAACTTCAGGCTCCCTAAAAATCCAGCCCCAAGCAAGATCCAAATACTATAGTCAAGTGACCCCTCTTTTCTTGGATAGCAGACACACACACACACACACAGCACAAGCAATTACGCAGGAACCTCCAGAATGATGTGGGTGGGGATTTGCCTTTATTTCATTTCAATTTGGGAGTGGAAGGCTCAAGCACAAAGATGATACCAACATATCAGGCATTAGAGTGACCCCTGCACATGCAGAATTCATGGATGCTCACTCTGAACCAGCCATAGACTGACAGCTGTGACCTATGAAAAGAATGTCCCTGTCACTGGGAAAGCCCTTTTTTATTAGTTTCAAGATCCACATCCACCCCAGGTCGCCTTGTCATTCTTGGTGATTGGATTCCATACATTGGGCTCCTTTGATTTTTAAACTCCTGTGGGCTCAGAGCCCCACCACAATGTAAACATGCATCCCCTAAAGGGAAAGTGAAATCTGCACAGGATGCTGGAGCCCAGGCAGCATGCTTCAGATGATCCACCAGCTTGGGAGAAAGACTGCCTTCTATCACACCAGTGAGAGATGGGAGAGAGTGCTCTGCTTGTCCAGTCTCACAGTATAGCCCTAGCCGTTCAAATCCTAGCCCTGCCTAGTTCTAAAGGAACTAAGCTAGGCACCTTCACCCTCTTCCCTTGAGAGAAAGATACATGTGAGTCAACAGACATAGACCCCGTGAACCAGTCAAACCACTGTTTCCTTCTTGTGCCGCTTCCATTCTACCAAAGGGATTCCTGAAGTCTGAAGTTTCCCACCAAACCTGGCTGCAAGCCTCCCTAGCAATTTGTGGGCCCCATGGAATGTGTTTGCCACAAGCCCCCAGCCTCCAGCTTCCTCTACATTCTCCCAGGGTAGCCTCGGGTTTATTTCAGTATCTCTCCCCACGGTTGGATGCGGTGACCTGACTTGGAGGTGACTGGGAAATTGTCAGGTGCCTTTGCTTTCTGTCCTCTCCTCATCAGCTGTCTGAGCATTGCTGACCGTGCGAAGCTGCCCCTGGGCCGCAGGCTTCACTGACAACACCAAGCGTTTTCGAAAGGTCTCACAGAGGACTATGTACACAAAGGGATTGAGGCAGCTGTTAGCATAGCCCAAGCTGATGGCTGCGTTGTACAGGTAGACAAATGTGAGGGTTGGGCGGCTGATGGACAACTGGGTCAGCTGCAGCACGTAGTAGGGCGCCCAGCACACAAAGAAGACCAGACAGATGGCAATGGCTGTGCGGGTCACCCTCTTTGTCCGAAGCCGGATGCTGCGTTGAGAGGCTGGGGCCACCGAAGACGTCATGCGCTGTAGTATTTTCACGTACGCAGCGGTGATGACCACAAATGGAAGGGCGAAGGCCAGGAAAAACTGATACAGAGTGAACCAGTAGAGATCAGTGTCTGGGTTTGGCAGACGGATGCCACAGCCCACAGCACCCCCTGGGAAGGGGATGAGCCTGGCATAGAGCCACACAGGGGTGATGCTAATGAAAGAGAGAGCCCACAGGAGGCAGATCACCAGGGTGGCCATGGAGGGCTTCCGAAATTTGGTGGAGGAGATGGGGTGGACGGTGGCCAAGTAGCGGTCAATGGCCATGGCGGTCAGGATGTAGGTGCTGGTGAACTGACTGTTGGCATCCATGGCTGTGATGAGGGTGCACATGGTCTCCCCAAAGTGCCAGACACCATTACCCATGAGCTGGTGGATCATGAAAGGCATGCCCAGCAGGAAGAGCAGATCTACCACGGAGAGGTTGAGAATGAAGATATCAGGGACGTTGCTGCACCAGTGTAGCTTGGATTTCTTCACCACGGCAAAGATGACTGTGGAGTTTCCCACAATGCCCAGGAGACAGATGGTACCAAATACTGAAGGCATAATGATGTTGATGTAGGAGACACTCCCTGTGCGAGGAGGTGACCCTGAGGGTAGAAAGAGCAAGTGTGACCCGCCCTTGATCTAGAAGCTGACAACCGATGGCTCTCCTGCTGGTCTCTCATGCTTTCCGTTGCAGCTTGAGGTCACCATGGATCTGGAATCATCTCCCACCATTTCCCCTCCTCATGCTATTATTAGTTCTGTACCTTTCCCTCCTCCACTGTTCCCTGGTGACTCCTACGGAATTTTCTAGATCCACCTGTTACTCAAAGGACCCCGTTCTTCGCTTCATCCATTTACTCAAAGGGCCAGGAGTCAAGATTCCCAGATATCTGCTGAGAACAACTTCATATCCCCGGGATCCACCAGGAAACCTTGTCAAAAAGGCTTGAAGGATGTGTGTGTGTGTATTTATGTGTATTTTTGTCTTTACAGAGAGAGATGGCCAAAGGTTTTAAATAGGTTCCTAGGCGTATCTGAGAAGTGACTGTCACACTGGGGTGTGTTTCAGGCTCAACAGCCCTGCCCTCTCCAGGTTTTCTGTCAGGGATTTCCTTGGACCATGTCTCCTGAGTCTGGGCTTTCCCAATAGGGTAGGGATTGAAGCTGTGTTGCACCCCCAGAAGCTTGAAATTTTTTCTCTGAACAAACCTTTCCTCTTTCCCCTTCACTACCTTCTCCTTCAGAGCTAAAATTTCAAGGCATTGGCATTCTGCGAATGTCAAGAAGCTTAATTCACCAGAAAAGTTAATCCTCTCACGCCCTACGAAGTCTTTTGCTCCCAGCAGCCTTTGCCAGAAGACAGCAAGGACCACTCAGACCCCATTACCCCAGTGCGAGGCCAGAGGATTGAGCCCAGGATAGCGGTGAATCAAAGCGCTTCCGCCGGCTCCCACATGCTACCCGCCGCCCGCTGTCTTGCTTGCTTGCTTCTCCAGCCTTGATTTTTTTTTTCCCTGCAAAGCATATTCGGGACTCATCAGCAAGCTTTCCCCTGCCTGCCTCACGCCTTGTCACCAACCCTTGTTATTTCTAAATGTGCCTCTGCCCCATCTCTATTCCTTCCTGCCCCTTCTGTCCTAGCTGGTGTCCCCTCCTCTCTTCTTCCCCTTCAGGCAAAGCAGACTGCAGATCTTATCGCCAAGAACTGTAAGATAAAGTTTCCCAGGCAGTTTGGCTTGGGAGGTGAAACCTTCCCATTTTCTACACCCATCCCGGAGGAGGGAGGACTCCAACTCGACTCACCCGCCAATGTGAGATTATCCTGGCCATCGGAGATGTTGCTGGCATTGGGGCCAGTGGACAGCAACGAGGCTTGCAGATCCATGCAGCCGGTGCAAGTCGCCTGCTCCCTGGAGTTGAGCGCCCGTCCACCCACGCAGGCTGCGGCAGCCTCCGGCGCCCGCCACCGCCTTGTCCCGAGCGTAAGCCCCGCAGTCCAGAAAAGGGTCTTCCTCTACCGCCTGGCAGCCTCTGCTGCCTCTGAGCCCAACTGCTCGCCCCACTCCCTCCTTCCCAGCTCCCACTGACATCACCTAGACACATTAACATTCGGAGGCAGATGCACGTTAACCTCTTCGGTTCCGGCTGCGGCTCCTACTCCTGACTGCCTGCAGAGCCAGCAGCTAGGCTTAAGCCACCCCATGAGGAGGATTCTTCCTTCTCGTTGTCTCCTGGGGCTGTCCTCTGAGCTCACAGGGGCTACCGCTTGTCTTGTATGACCAACCAGGTCTTTGCAAAAGCAAAGGGGATGGGGGGAGCAATGGGCTGGCTGATTTGAAGAAGCTGGACCACGTGGCAAGAGCCAGGGGTACTGTTCCCAGTGCTGGGGACTCAGAAGCTTGAACTGACACGCCCTTGGTCCCTAAGCACTCTGGAGGTCACCCTAAACCCTTCCTGTGTCCTGGTAACTTCCAAACATTTCCTTGGCTAGATGACAATCGCTAGCCCTTGCACAAAGGTTCCAGGCTTTCCATGGTGTGAGACAGAACAAACTTCCCTCTGCACAGGATCAGTCGGGGCCATCCATGGAGGTTTTATTTTCTAGTGTTCTGAGGTTTTGTCTGGGACTCTGTGAAACAATTATCAGAGCATAAGAGAATAAGTCCCTCAGAGATTAGCCATGGACAGTAGCCTCAAAGGGCATAGGCATTAGATAGTTCTCTGCAGATTCCTGCAGACAGCTCCAGGAGATCCACAATCAAACACTGTCGATACACACCAGGACCAGATGTAGAGCCTAAGTCCTTGGCTGACATAGTTGCCTGTTAACCCTTATTAATGAGCACAGAAGCATAGACATCCCTATAGCTCCCCCGAGTTCCAGCCGTACTCTTCCTTGTCACCATTGGATATGAACATGCCTGGTTCTTCAGGCTAAGTTGTTGGTTGTCCCTAGTATACCTCTTCTTTCCAGGCCCCTTAATCCACCAGCATGAAGAACTTAAAGTCAAATCGGGACTGGGGATAGAGCTCGGATGGTACAGTGTTTGTCTCACAGACACGAAGCTCAGGGCTTCATCCCCGAGACTCATAAACTGGACATGGTGTATGCCAGTAATCCCAGCACTCAGGAGGTGGAGGCAGGAGGATGAGAATTTCAAGGCCTGCCCCTTTCTCTGTCTCTGTCTTTGTCTCTCTCTGTCTCTCTCTCTGTCACACACACACACAAACACACACAAACACACACACACAGAGACAGAGAGAGAGAGAGAGAGAGAGAGAGAGAGAGAGAGAGAGAGAGAACCAGATGGTAGTTTATCCATAGGTGCAGTGGGATGATTAGTGCATCTCTGTGGAGTCTGTGATGCCCCCAACTCTGTGATGCCCCCAGACCCACGCATCCCTCATGGTATTAGCGGAGAAAACACTGTGGTGGTTTGAATGAAAATGTCCCCTATAGGCTCATACATTTGAAAACTTGGTCCCCAGTTGGTGACCCATGTTTGGGAAGGATTAAGAAGTATATTACTAGGGATGGTTTTGGAGTTTCAAAACCTATCCCTCCATTCCCAGTTAGTTCTCTTTGCTCCTGCTTGCAGGATGTAAGCCTTTAACTGTTCTTGCTACTGCACCATCGCTCCACCACCATGGACTCTAACCCTCTGAAACACTTTCTTGTTTGCCTTGTTTGTAGTGTCTTCAGAGCAATAGAAAACCAAAACAGATGCTCTCTGGGTTTCCCTACAGGACTAACTGGTGTGTTCTTTGGCCTCACATGGTAATTTCCACTCTAGCATCTCACTTTCTCTGAGTCTTCTGACTCCTTTCTCAAAACTGCCAGGCCTGGCGGTGATGGTGCTCACCTTTAATCCCAACACTCAGGAGGCAGACACAGTCAGATCTCTGAGTTTGAGGTCAGCCTGGTCTACAGAGTGAGTTCCAGGACAGCCAGGCCTATACAGTGAAACTCTGTCTCAAAAAACGAAACAAGATAACAACAACAACAACAACAAACCTCTGTCAAGTAGCAGAAGCCAGTGGAAAGGATCAGTGGGGAGTTATTGTTGAAAGGTACGAATTTCTGTATATGGAGATAGAGAACTAGAAATAGGCAGTATTGATGGTTGAGAAGCACTGTTCCTAATACATGCTTTTAAAAAAAAGATTATATATATGTGTGTGTGTGTGTGTGTGTGTGTGTGTGTGTGTGTGTGTATGTGTATATGATGTATGGTCTCTGTCTCCAGACACACCACAAGAGGGCATCAGATCACATAATAGACCAATTGGGAGCCACCATGTGGTTACTGGGTATTGAACTCAGGACCTCTGGAAGAATACTCAGTGCTCCTAACCCCTGAGCCATCTCTCCAGCCCCTTAATGCATGTTCTTAATACTGCTGAATTTGACACAACTTGTTAAGGGAGTGGGTATGTATCTCAGTGGTAGAATATTCTTGCCTGGCATGTACAAGGCCCTGGGTTCAGTCCTCAGCATCACATGTACAGAGTTAAAATGGACAATAGTGTGTGCATTTTACTACAATGTTAAAAACAAATGTAGTAGTAAATTTATGTATACAACCTAACAGCCACTTGAGGGTAAGAGAATTCTGCCTCAGTAGCCGGAGCACCTTTGTCTTCTTACTGTAGGCCACTTCCGGGAGCTGCCTCCAGGTATCTCCCCCAAGGGTGTTCTAGCCCATGAAGCAAGAGTGTCCCTGCCAAGACACTCTCTCCTTTCAGTTTGACATTTGTGCCACACTCCAGCACCCTCAAATCCACTCCTATACACGTTCCCATTAAGGTTTTTTTTTCAGTCCATAATAAGAGAATGCTGATATAAGGGTCCACACCTGAAAATGATCAATGCCCTCTTGAAGGGTATACTCTCAGCTGAATCCTATCATGATTTTCCGAACAAGCGCAGGATGTTTCTCCTTCCTTTCAAAAAGTGACAGGGGCTTGGTTCCGTCTGCTGCTCTGGAGGAGATAAAGAAATGTGTTTTCAAGTTCATGCAGATGTCCTCTCCTGGACTTGAAGGTTCCACTCCTTATCATGAAAGAGTGCTAAGGCTGTACCTACTCCATCTTTTTGCACCTCACCCACCCTTACAATTAGATCCTGGGTCTTATTTTCAGCAAACTGCTCTACCTTTGCAGAAGATCACAGGCTCCTCGAACTGCTGCTCTGGTGGGCTTCTGGCTTTCACTGTGTGTCCTGAGTTGGTATCTGGGCCTTCAACTCTTCCATCAAATTCCTCCTAGGCTTCCGAAGCAGGTCAGCCATCTTATGACCCATTGCTCCTTTACTTCCAGAGAGGCTGCATGTGTCAGCACCTCCTTTTCTACTTCTCAGTCGACCACAGGCAGGACTCGGTCACTGTGATGTCACTTCCAGGCCAGGGTGGGTCCTATCTCGTTCACTAGCAGCAGTGGCACGCTTATGGACGTCTGACTGGTAACTGCTGTCTCCCAGCATCCTACTTTGAAGACTCATCTTCAAGGCTGTGACTCCTAGAATTCATCTTCTCAGTTTGGTTTCCTCTGAAAACAGAGTCTTAGACTCAGACTTATGTGTGGAAATGTCTTCTTGGTGTGAGTCTAAGGAACAGTAAGGAACAGGAGGAGTGAGGAATCAGACTAAGAAAGTCAGTGGGGCGATGGCTGAGTTTGTTGCTGTGGGAACTCCATTTCAGAATTGCTCAGAGGGGTTAGTTAAATGCTATAGCATAATCCCCTGGCATACATAAGGCCCTGGGTTCAATCCTCAGCATCACACAGAGACACATAGACACATACGCACACATATACACACACACACACATGTGCATACACACGTGTACACATGCATGCACATGCGATGCACACATATGCATGCACACGTGCACACACACATATGCATACACATACACGCACACACACATGTGCATGCACACACATGTATGTACATACATGCATGCATACACATGCACACACAGACATACATAAGTGCACACATGCATGCACATGCACATACACACACAAGCACAAATGTCCATTATAGCTGAAGCCAAAAACAGAGGGGGAAGCCAGGCGGTGGTGGTGCACGCCTTTAATCCCAGCACTTGGGAGGCAGAGGCAGGTGGATTTCTGAGTTCGAGGCTAGCCTGGTCTACAGAGTGAGTTCCAGGACAGCCAGGGCTACCCAGAGAAACCGTGTCTCAAAAAAACCAAAAATAAAAAATAAAAAATAAAAAATAAAAATAAAGGGGGAGAAGGTGGCAAGGATTCCAGAAGCATCTGACAGAGTCTGCTTTAGGGCTGGCTATCTCTACCAAACACCCATGTGCATCCCTTTAGATCCCTCAGCTCCTGCTAGCTCATATGCCCACCATTTCTGCGGTCCCCGCTCTTCTTGGTCCCCGCCGAGTACACGTGACAGTGCAGAACAGAACAGGGAGGGCCTCCCACAGCTATGGTGCATCTCAGACCTGCAGGGTGTGCTTTTCTCCTCTGTTCAGGGTGTTCTCCATTTCTGCTACAACTTAGGGCATGGAAATCCCAAAACGTCCAACCATAGCCCACCTAGAAAGCAGGGACAGCTAGTGCTCCTTGGGGTGCATCTGTGCTCAATATGGGATGGTCACAGATAGTTGCTTTCTCCTCGTTTCCTCAGAATATCTCATCAGAGGCATTTCTTACAGCCTCTCAGCAGTTCATGGTCACTTGGCATGGAGTCAACGGGAAATCCTATGTCTCCAGCGTTTCCGCTTGCTCCTTTATCATTCCTGATTCCTAGGATCACACTTCCCAGTAAAATACCCGCATGTACCTTTGTCACCAACTCTTTTTTTCTTTTCTTTTACTGGGAATCTGAGAGTGTATGTGACTCACTACTACCAATGGCAGTCGAGGGGAGTGGCGGAGGGTGAGACGTTTGGCAGAGATTTCCTGCTTCCCACAAAGACATGAAGGAATTATCTCCTTTGATCCCCTCCCCTCCCGGCACGCCCCAAACTTTGTTGTGGCTGGAGGTGCCACCTGGAAGGCCTGAAGCAGGCGAGATGATGCTTATTGATTGGATCAGTCAGGATGTCTGGAGGAAACA